ATAGTATCCTTCTCTATTAGTATAATTATTCTTAAATTCTCTATTATATAGTAGTTACTGGAGGTGTTCTTTTAGTTCTGTATCTTGCTTATCCGGTGTGATTCCTTATCTGGGTTATTTGTTATTAATTATGTCTTCTGTAATCGTGATCTTATTAAGTCGTTGGAGACCTATAGGGTTGCTGCATAGGTGGAGTCTATTATCTTCCTACTGGCATACTAGCTCTTCTGTGGTTTCTAAACTGGTATTATTAACTAATGGTTCCTTTATTAAGTAGTTATATTGTTTATTATTAATCCGTTCTTAATACTCTTTTTCCTATTTTTAATGTTTTTTCTTTATTTTATTAACTTCTTCTTAGTTAAATGCTTCTTTAAGGTAATTAAACTTTCCTTTAGTAATTGCCTGGAATTCTTTTTTAGCATCTTTAATAAGTTTTTATAATTATTAAATCCCCTTATAGAGTCGATTTACTTTATAGGTCTATTAATAGTAGGCTATATTGAATTATAGTTCTACTACTCCTAGGTTTTTATACTACATATATACTAGGTACCTCTTTATTTCCTTCCTTAAGTAGGGTTTGTTGTTAGGTGTGCTAGGGATGGTTGCTAGAAAGCAATTATTATTGAGTTTTTCTTGCTTATATGTTTTATACTAATAGTATTTATAAAATAGCTATAATATCTCTTTATATTATTTATTTATTAGAAATATTTAAATATTATCTTATTTATTAAATCATTCCTCCTTATATAGTGGGTTTATAGCGTTATTAGTGTAATATACTCTGATATTTAAGAGTTTAATTATATCAGTATTTCTATATTCTCTAGCTCCTTATATATACCTATCTTCTAGTAATATCTATATCCTATTTCCTACTTTATTAAATAGTGGCTTATAGGGTTATTTTTATTTTTATTTAAGTTATTTATCTTCCTTATAGAGGTATTATGCAGTTACTTATGCTACTCCTCCTCTATGTCCTATATTTCAGGAGTATTAATAGTAATAGTTACAGATTTTATTTCCTGCTTCTCGTTCCTTATTAAAGGCTATTTCTTTTTTTTAGAGCTTGTTTATTATTAACGTGTATGATAAGCGAGTGAGCCAGACAAGCGAGTGAGCCACATATCTTAACTTTCTAAATGAAATTCGCAATAAAAACTCTACAACCTATCTAATCAATTAAAATTAATCGCTATACTATTCCCTATTGACTTTAATTGCCTCCTGACAGGTCCTTGCATTATGCCCGGTCTTTCTGCAAATACTACACTGCCGGACCTTTGCTCCTTATGACCTTCCGCAACCACCTCTCGAGGCTTTAGCTATTACCTGCGCATCAATATCTATCTAATCAATTGCTTGTAATGCTTCCCCTATAGTTAAAGGCCCTTCTTTTTATACCCTAGTCCTTTTTCCCCTCCGGCGTCGCCCTACTATCTTATTTTGTTATTCAAGTTGTTGATTCCTATTATATAGTAAGACCATCTTATCTATAAGAATAGTTATTGCCTTCTCAAAATGCTTTACGGCTTTAATTATTGACTCAGGGGAGCTGCTCTTATGATTTCTGATCCTTCCTTGCAGATACTTGGAGTGCGATTGGGCCCCTAGTACTGTCTTTGGGGTCCTTGCAGTCCAAGGGGTCGATGGTATTGTGACCTCTACGGGAGGCGTTGGAGTCCGTAGCTGCACATCAAGCTTCGAGATGACATTTTCTGGGTTAAGGGGAGCAAGTCCAGCTCCTCTAAAACCTCCCTTAATATTGCTTTCTATAATAGCAGCTTAGTGGGCGACATGAAAGGCAGGAAAGAACTCGGTCTTGGTAATATGGGTTATAAAGCATCTGATCAGATGCTCTATTTCTCGACTATATGCCTTTTTCAGCGGCCCAAAGCACCCTATGTCAAGAGGCTGAAGTAGATGAGAGGCATGAGCAGGCATACAGAGCGTAATAATCTTGTTCTCCTTGCAATATTCCTCGAATTCGACAGAGTGGTGACTTTCATGACCATCAAGGATCAAGAGGCGATAGCGACTGTTCGTTCGCTTAGCTATAGCCTGATCAAAATGCTTTAGCCACTCAAGGCCCAGCTTATTATCAGTCCATCCTTTCTCACTCAATGCAATAACCCAATCGCCAGGAAGGTTGCATTCTTGGTACTAATTGGCGAGGTGATCCTTACCTGCGCTAATGATAAACGGCGGGATCGATTGGCCTTCTGCATTAATCCCCTTAATTATAGTAATCCATTTGCGGTTTCTAGGCTATACTTGCTTTAGTCTTCCTTGCCTATAGGAGCTTATAACGACTGTTCCGGGCTTAATTACGCCCATCATAAAGACAGTCTTATTAAAGTTCCAGATATCATCTAATCAGATACCATATTTTGCAATTATATTCTCTACAAGCCGAAACCAGCTACGAATAATAGTCGGATCTTCGCATTTAGCTCTCTGATAGTTATATCTCCGAAATTGACATGTCTTTAGCTCTGGTTATCGCTTAATGAAGTTATAAGCCCAGCGCTTGCTAACAGGTGGTATATCGCGGTTGGCATATAGAGAATTCGCGATATCTTCTATATACGATAGTCGCGAGGGAAATCCTCGCGAATCTAGGTCTAAAATGAATTGGATTATTATCTGCTCTTCCTGATCAGATAGTTTCCGTGACTTTGTGGGAGTATTACGCTTTAAAAGAATGCCATGCTGGCGGCGACCTAAGGTACTACGGTTGACATCGTAGATATTTGCCGCCCGTCGGACTGTAAGTTTAGGGTTATCTTGAAGGGCCTGAAGGGCAAGAAGGATTCTAGCTTCATTTGAGGACTGTGGCATATTTGTTGGTTGAGATATAGCTGATTGAATTATAATGTTGTAAGGTGAGGGATTTTTGGCTCACTTGCTTGTCTGGCTCACTCGCTTATCATACACGTTATGGTTTTTATAGGGATATTATCTATCTTGCTAGTAGACTTGGCTTTTTTATTTATATTAGGGGTAGTTGCCGTTCTTTATTATATTATTCCTAGGACTTCTAGTTATTATTATTTATTGCCTTTTTTATTATCCTTCTTTTATTATCTTCTTTCCCTTTATTTCTATTAGAAGTATTCCTTTTATTCTAGGTCTTTTATCTTTCTGTAGTAGTAGTTATTATTAATTTCGTTTCTATAAAGTCTTTATCGTTCTTGCTCTTCTTCTAAAAGCAGTTCTCCTTTCTTTCTTCCCGTAATTTCGGATAGTAGCTCTATAAAAGTTAACTTATAATATAGGACTATATTATATCCGCTTTAGGTTATTCCTAATACTTTAGTTAGTCCTAGGGGTTACTTACCTTAATTTAGGTCTTTAAATCTTTATAATTCTAGGCAATTGCATGCAATATATCTATACTTATTGCAGTTATAGTATTTAACTTTAAACATATCTCGTTATTAATTATTATTATTACCTAGTTAAGTAGCTCTAAGTACCATAGGTCCTGGTTATATACTATATATAGTATTATTTAACTGGTTACCTTATTATTATCCTTAGTTTCGAGAGTTACCTTAATTATTATTATATCTCTGGCTAGGGTAATATAGGTTAAAGTCGCTTCCTTTTCGTTAATAGGCAGCTTTCTCTCTTTTATATTTATACTATCTTTTATTAATCTTAATTACTATAGTAATATATATAATTAGGTTATTAGGCCTATTGGCTAGGTATAGTTTATCCTTAATATCTTCTTTTAGACTTTAGTAGTAAATTTCTATAAGAGACTTATTATCTTACTAAGTTTTAGCGGCAAGTTATCTAAACTTGGCTAAGTATACGGCGTATGATTTATACTGCTTAAGTACTAGTAGTTCTGCTGCGGCTTATTGTTCTTTATTAACTACTTTAAAATTATCCTTAAGTGCTTATTTAAAGTTTTCTTAATTTCTAAAGATGTTTTAGGTATCCTAATCTTATAGGTTTTCTTCGTTTTTAAGGTAGTCCCTTATAATAGGTTTAAACCAATCTTTAGTATCTCCTTAAATTAGTAATACAGTGAACAGCAGCTTCTTAGTAGCGGTATCCAGTTTGTTAGGGAATAGGCGGAAATATCCTTTTATTTAGGTAAGGAATAGGATTATATTAGCTGCCTATCCCTTAAAAGGTTCCGGCTTAGGCGGCTTAAGTGCCTCTTTAAGGTCGCGTCCTCGCGATTTGTTAGCGTTATTATTAGCTGGCGCAGCGCTCTGCTGCTTATTGACTTATATCTGCAGGTTATAGATAGTAGTGCATAACTGCTAGACTTCAGCTATCAGTTTAGCCGTGCTAGGGGGTGCTCTGGTATAATGAGGTGCTAGGCCGGTATTACTAGATATTTTAATAGTATAATATTACTTAGTTATTTAATGCAGTATATTTTAAATAAGAGCTATTAATATATAATAGAATAGGTTTTAAATAGGTAAACTAGTCTATACTAGGTTTAATGTTTATAAAGTTATAAGGCGTTATATTAAGCAGTTTATAAAGTATTATATCTCTTAATAGTAAATAGAGCAGGTTAGGTATATTTAGGTAAAGAAGTCTTATTAATAGCTAGTAAGCTAAGTTCTATAAAAGTGCTAATAAATATGATCTATATACTAAGGGTGGCCTTATAGCTTAGTAGAGAATGTAAGTGATCTAAGGGTTAGATTTACGGGGATTAGTTATGATCTATGGTAATCTAGTCTTAGAGCATCGTGATCTAAGTGATCCAAGGGAAGAGGATTGTTACTAGGAGAAGTGATCCTACGGTAATTGGTGAAAATTATAGGGGCCACGTGACATAGATGCGGGGGTTGTAACATAATACCTTTAAGTATAGCTACTAAGAGGTGTTTTTATATACTTCTATCTGCCTTTTAGGCTTTAAGAACCTCCCTGGCAGTATTTCTTATAATTTTAATATCTTACTAATATTTACAGTTATAATTATAGTAAATAATTCTAGGTAAAGGCAATCTTTAAGGCTTTTCTCTAGCCTCTATAAGAAACTTACCTATTACCTTAATAAATAAATAAAGTATTAGAGAATAATAGCTATTAAATCTATAGCTTATAAAATATAATACTAATATATTTTTAGTAAGATAAGTAAAGTTATTAATTACTATAATAGGTAAGTTTAGTTTATATTATACCTATTTAAAAGCAAGTTAGGAGGCAATATTATATATCTTATTAAATATATACTAGATTAATAATGGCCTAAAAGCTAGCATTAGCACTCTATAAGTAATGCCCTAGTTCTCTTCTCTAAGTCTGGCCTGCCTTTCTATTAAGGGTATGCTCTGTTACTATTACCGAAAACACTTATAGTAAAAGGCCCATCGTGAACTCCATCTCGAATTTCCTATTAAATTATAAGCCTTAGTGCCTCCTTAAGAGCATACTATAACCTATAGTAAGTGCTAAGTTAATATATTTCTTAAACCGCTTCTTATTATATATCTTATTAACTAAGGCTTATATAAATATAATTATAATAGATTGGCTAAGGAATTTTAGTTAATAAATCTCGCCTTGTAATAAATTATTAGTTAATTATAGTGGCCCCTTAATCGCAAGATAATGCTTACCATACTGTTTAGCAAGCAATACCATAGAACCCAAGTATTACAATCCTCGCGGTTACGTCACGTAGAACCTATAAATTTCCCCCAATTAATTAACAACTTATGCTTTCTCCTTATTTCTATTATAAGCTGCTTAATAGGACTTATAATTAGACTTATAACTTATATATAAATACCGACTTACTATAGTAAGTTACTATAAGTATATAAAACATATTTATTAGCACTTTTATAAATTCTAGCTTACTAGCTATTAATATAACTTCTTTATATTAATTAAGCCTAATATATATTAAATTTACTATTAAGAGATATAATACTTTAATAATACTTAATTTATGCCTTATATAATTTACTAATAATAAACCTAATATAGCTTAAGTTTAATATAGTTAAACCTAACTATTATATATTAATAGCTCTTATTTAGACTATACTATATAAACGCTAAGTAATATAAATATAATAGCTATACTAGTTACTCCTATCTAGCAGAATGCTACTACTAACATTACCCTAACTCTAGTTAATAATAATCTACTTACTAACCAGGATATAAGAAAGAATAATAATAACTTATCTAAAAGCAGTAATAACTCTAACATTATCTAACTCTAATAGCAGATTACTAATATAACTATTAAAATAGCAGAGCTTTACTAAATACTTACTAAAGCAATAAACCTCTAAGCCTAGCAGGCTAATAATAATTAAAATAGACTTTAGGAAATATATAACCTTACTAATACTATTATTTATAATAAAGATACTAAAGAAATCCTTAAGCCTAACCTGCCTAAGATATTTAATAAAACTTTAAGTAAACTCTTTATATTCCTTACTTAGTATTAAGCCTTTATATCCTACTATTTAACTTAGTTTATAGAGGAAGTAAATAAAACTAGGTATATATTAAGATACCTTAAGGGCACTGCTATATAATAGTTCTAGCCACTTCTTAAAGACTAAATTACTAAAGGAGACCTAAAAGCCCTTAAACCCTAAACCTATATATTATATACTAACTACCTAGCTTTTAAAAAAGCCCTATAATAAGCATTTAAAACTATTAATAAGAAAGAATAAGCTAAAAGAAAAATTAAAATACTTAAATAAACTTAATTTATATCTAAGCTTAAAGTAAAATTCCTTTAATTAGTATTTAAACTACCTTAAGATTAAGATATACTTATATTATTCTTCTTTAATATACTTAAGGAACTAGTATAAGCCGAACTATATAAGGAAGATAGACCTAAAACCTTAATAAACTATATTAACTAAGCAGTTAGAATTAATAACTAGCAATTTGCCTAGAGAACCTAAAACTCTTATTATAATAAATAATAAAATAATAAACCTTATTATAATACTAACTAAAAACAGAAATGCAATAATAATACATCTTATAGCACTAAAGCAGGACTAATAGAAATTAAAATAGTTAAATAAGATAAATCTAAACTTACTTACTAAAACTATAATAAGAAAGGATATAAGGAATTAAAATATAAAAACCTTATTAAAACTAATTAGAAATATAAACTAATACCTAAAGGAAAGAAATATATTAATACTATAAGGAAAAATAATAAACCCTAAATAGCAATTAAAATAGTTAATATAACTAAAAAGGATAAATATAATATATTTAGTATTAACTTTACTATAGCTTTAAGACTATTAGAAATATATAACCTATTCCTTAATAAGGATAAAACTCTTAAAAAATATTATCCTAACCTAGCACTAAAAGAATAACCTATCTTAAGATATAAAATATTAATATTAATAAGAAAAAGAGAAATTAAAGAAGAAACCCTTAAATAGAAAAGACTTAAATATGCTAAAGATATAAAAAACCCTAAATACTAAAGAAAATAAAATAAATAATAAAAGGGTTATAAAAATAAGTAAAGTATTTAATAAAAAGAAAACTTAAAACTAAGAATTAAATAATAAAAACTAATACCTATATAAAAAAAACAAAATAGCAAATATAATAAGGTTATAGTAATAGTTAGAAAAGGAAAGGAAGTTAACTCTAACCTAAATAATAAACTAAGTACTAAAGAATTTAACTAAAGCATTAACTAAGCATTAATATAAACCTTTAATAAATTAGAAGTACCTTTTAAAATCTAAAATAAAATAATTACCTATAAACCCTACTTAATAGTAAATAATATTCCTATTAAAATTACTTTAAGATAACCTAATAAATACTATAAAGACCTAAGCTATACTAAAGTAATTAGGATATAAAAAGAACTTAATATTAAGAAAATTAAATATAAAGAGGAATAAATAGTTTAAAATACTAGAATTATACTTTAATATAATAAACTTAGAAATTATTTCTAAAATAATAAATACTAAAAATATATAGAACTTACTAAAGAAAAAGCAATTATAAAATAAGATAATAATATCTATATCTAAGCCTATATAAAGGAGGTAATAAAAGATCCTATAACTCTAGAAAAACGCATTTAACTAGAAAAAGAACTATAAAGGTACCTATATTATCTAAACTATAAGTAGATATTATAGGTATTATATATATAATACTACTATTTATAATACTAGTAAGATAAAGTAATAAATAATTACTTCCTGGTTTAAGTTAAGGAATATTAAGAATAAAAACCATACTTAATTATTAATATAATAAGATATTAAGTAATATAAAGGTATAAAGGATTTTATATAGCTAGGCTAAAAGCTTATATAAAGATATAAAAGAGAGCCTTAATATATATCTAAAACTCTAAACATATTATAGAATAGAGATAATAAGTATAATATAAAGTTAACCTAAAAGAAGATAATACTATTAATAAAGGTATTACTAAAGTTTATTAAGATATAGCCTAATAGGAGGAAAAACTTTTTAAAGAAGAATCCTTAGGAGATATCTTTAAATATTTCGAAAAAGAATAACTCTAATACTTACTTATAATAGTAAAAAGGGAGAAAAGAAGACCCCTTACTAACTAAAAGGAAAAGATATTACCTTAGACTATAAAATAGGGAAAATAGCCTATAAAGAATACCTAGTAACTATTAATATTAATAAATACCTAAATAACCTAGATTATATTTATAGCAAATATAATATAGATTACCTAAGTAAGTAAGGAAAAGATCTATACTATCTATAAAAAAGCAATAGATAAGCAAAGAGCTAGAGGAGCTAGAACTCTTAAGAAAAGCTCTATAAATAATAATAAAATAAAGTTAAAAAACCTATTTATAACTAAAAGTATAAATTAAAGGCAAGTAGCTTAATATACTTATAAATAGTAAAGCAGATATAAATATTATTTCCCCTAATATAGTAAATAAACTTTAAATACTATAAAGATATAAAAAGAAAAGAAAAATTTATACTATTATAAATAAAAAAGGAACTAATTATAAATATAAAAACAGAAAAATTACTAAAGAGATTAATTACCTTAAGGTCTTTATAAATAGAAAAAACTAAAGAATTAACTTTAATATTATCCTAATAAATAGTTTTAACTTAATACTTAAATACTTATAGCTATAATACTATAATCCCTATATTAACTAAAGAACTAGCTAGATAAACTATAAAGATTATCCTTTAGATAATAAGTTAAATAACTTAAAAAATAATAATATAAGATCTTAAACTTTAATTAAAGAGGATAGTAAAGCCTGGTATAAAGAATATTTACTTATTCTAAAAGGAATATAATATATATATAAAAAAGGCAGAAGAAAACGCATTAAAAGAATAGTAGTAATCCTTAAAGGATAATTTAGATAATTAAATTAAGATATTAAATAAATAAAACAGATTACCTTAAAGGAATTTAATAACTAACTTAAAAACATACTATTAGAGTATTATACTTATAAGAAATTATTTTAGGAGGAATTAGATACTAAGTTACCTTAATATATAGACTATAATATTAAAATTATACTAAAAGATAAAAAGGACCTAAATTTCTTCCTTATTTATAACCTATTTAGAGATAAGCTTAATATACTTAAAGAATAAATAAATAATATATTATAAAAAGGATATATTTAACTATTAAAATCTTTAGCTAGATATCTAGTTATATTTATACTAAAGCCTAATATAAATAAATTATAACTTATAGTAAATTATAAATAACTTAATAAGATTATAAAGAAGGACTAAATACCCTTATCCCTTATTACTAAACTTAAAGACTGCCTATTTAGCAAAAAGGTTTTTATAGCTCTTAACCTTAAATCTGCCTATAACCTTATTTAAATTAAAAAAGGTAATAAATAGAAAATAGCCTTTAAAATAAAATATAGATTATTTAAATATTTAATTATACCTTTTAAATTAACTAACACACCTACAGTATTTTAATATATAATTATAAATATACTTTAAGAATACCTTAATATCTTTATAATATACTACCTAAATAATATCCTTATCTTCTCTAATATAGAAAAAGAGCATAAAGAATATATTTATAAGGTTTTAAAAGCACTATAAGACACTAATATACTTATTAAACTAA